TCCATTTCTGATCAAAAGTCGAGGACTACTTGTAGTTAGGAGGTAACTGGAATTAATTTAGGGCCGGCTACAGGGCGGGGAATAACACCGCTTACAAAGCACTTGGTTACTTGCAGGAGAGACCTGCATGGCTAAACAATTTGAAGGCAGTAGAGATCAGCTCTTGAGTAAAGCATTTGAAGGAGGGAGGATTCAAAGCGGCCTCTCAAGGGAAGGTGAAAACAGCCATCTCCTTCAGTGAACTCATACGGCTGCCTTCAAAAGCATCTGTTGGGTTAGCTGTTGCCACCTCATCCAAAACGATCCTTCGGGGTAGGCCAGATTAGGAAACCAACCTTTTACTAGGCAGCTATGGTAACAAACTCTTGAAAGCCTGAATGTGCTTCCTCTCCTCTTCCCCCTCCTTTTACCATTGCGAAAATTAGGAAGTCTTGTCTGAGACACTTTCTCAAAGTTCTGTTCCGGATTTTTATTTTTAGACATACGCGCACACATGCGTGCATAAACAATGGCTTGGTGGAGAAGACGCCGGTCTCCCACTCAGAAGGTTGAGAACTCAATCCTAAATAGCTGCCGATAATTTCTCTCCTAAGGCGCAAGGAGAACTGTGAACTCTTGAGTAGGCATCAGGAAGGGCATCCGACCAGTAAATGCTCAGCTCTATCCAGTCGCCCCAACTCTACCTTGAATTAAAGGATTACAGGATTGGAAAAAAAAAGGGGAGGGAGTTACACACATACACACACACACACACAATTTCCCTTCTCATCCCTATGACTGGCCTGTGACTTCCTTGCTCTCGGGTCCTCGACCAGAAGTCTGGGGGTTTCAGGGTTCTGCGCTGGCTCTTAGCTGTTCCTAACACTGCACCCTTCTCTGGACGGAGAGCACGGATGTCATTCCTGGAATCTGTTGGAGCCCCTTCTCCCAACATTGGCCTTGACTTTTCACATCACCTTGAGTTTGTCCTTCAGGCCATGGTCCTTCTCCATCTCCTCCTCCTGCTTTCTAACGTCACCGTCAGTTAGCACAGTTACATGTATCTCTCGTACATACCTATGAGACTTTTCCTCCTGTTCCTCAAGGCCGTTCCTTCTTCCCATTTCAGAAACATGAATATATATATGTGTGTGTGTGTGTGTTGGAAGTCTGGCAGATGCAGTGTCCAATTCCACCCTCTTCCGGCCACCAGCTGTGCAGAAGGAGAGATGTTTCCTGGCTTTCAAGACCATTCCATTTACACAAACAAGGAAGCCGTTAACCAGTGGTGGGTTCCACCCGGTGTTACCATTGGTTCTCTTTGCGCGCGATCGCCGCACAAGCGCGTTAGGTTTCTGCCCAGCTGAGCTGCGGCAATTCACTCTGCCGCGCCTATCAGCTGGGCTAAAAACCAAGAAATAAAGGTAGGAATAAAGCGCGGGCGGGCGGGAGGGCCCAGCTCCCAGTCACAGAGAACCGGCTTGGTGACGTCACATCGTTACCACTACCGGTTCGGCCGAACCGGGAGCAACCCATCACTGCTGCTAACTCTCCAGATGGCACAGCCACATTTCCCCAGCGTTTCATAAGGCTGGGTTGAGTACGGAGTTCGTCGTCATCGTGACAACAGCTGGAAAGCCTTCCAAGATAAAGATGCCTCAGTCCTGGAGACATTTCTGAGCAATTGTGTGATAAGTTACTAGGTGGGAAGAAAGCAGCAGAGGGCAGTGTGTGTGTGTGTGTCTGTGTGCAGTTCCCTACACCTTTTCAGCAAAGCTGGAAGTGGTCACGGAACTTCCCAACGTACAACCGCATCGCACCACTTGGGTTGCAGGCTATTGCATCAGTTGCTTTCTGGTGTAAATATTTCAAGCGGAGGCAGTTGCCAACGGAGCAGCCGCTGGTGTGTTTTGAATCTGGTCTGGCCTTATTCCCCTATGAGGAAAACCAGGCGACATTCTCAAGATACTTGGAAAGTTGAGGGTGGCAGCTCCGATTCTTCTTTTCTCCGAGCAACCCGAATCCTTTTGCAGAATTTACACTCTTGTCCACCGAGTCGGTGACAGTTTGGTGTAGCGGTTAAGGCACCAGGCTAGAAACCGGGAGACGGTTAGTTCAAGGCCCGCTGTACCCCATGAAAGCCAGCTGGGTGACTTTGGGCCAATCACCCGGAGACTGTGAGTTCTAGTTTGGGTCAGATGTAAAAGCCAGGTGAGTGACTTGGGCCATACACACACACAGCCCAAGCCATCTCAGGGTTGTTGTGAGGCAAATAGGAGGAGGTATTGTGTGTGTTAAAGGCAGGATAGAAATCTAATACAGGTAGTCTTTGACTTACAACAGCTCATTTAGTGACCAAAGTTACGTCAATGAAAAAAATGAGGTAAAGACCGTTTTGTCACACGACCATTCCAGCATCCCTCATGGTCACATGATTAAAATTCAGATGCTTGGCAACTTGACTCGTATTTATGACGGTTGCAGAGGTCATGTGATCCCCTTTTGCGACCTTTTGACAAGCCGAGTCGGTGGGTAAACCAGTTTCACTTAAGGACCATGTTACTAATTTACCAGCTGCAGTGGTTCACTTAACAACCGTGGCAAGAAAAGTCGTAAAAGGGGACAAAGCTCAAGTTAACAAATGTTTCACTTAGCAACAGAAACGTTGGGCTCAATTGTGGCCATAAATTGAGGACTACCTGTACAGTGGTGCGTCATGGTTAATTGGTCCCAGGAGGCGCGATGAGTGCCAAAAACGGTAAGTACCAAACACGTTTTTTTCCGTAAGGAATAATGTAGTGAGTCACCCGTCAGCTGACAGCAACCAATCAGCTTGTGCGCTGGGTACCAAACAAACGATGGGCACCAAGACAGAATTTTCCTGTTGAGTACCAAATTCGATGGGAGTCAAAGCAGTCGAGCACCAAGGTGCCAAGGTAATAACAAATGACATTGAAGCGTGGCCAGATTGCAGGATGAAGTTCTACAACAAACGTTTAACGTGGACTTCGGAGGCCACATCTAAGGATCCCCAAAGCTTTGTGGCTTGGGGAAACATTTGGCCTTCTTGACCTAATGTGACTGCAATCATCTGTCACATAGTGCAGATGTTTCCAAGTGGGATGCCTGTTGTGGGGAATTTGTGTACTTGTGGGCACCGGCCCTCTTTTTGGACAGAAAAACAGGTATACCCCTAGAGTGCAGGTAGTTCTCGGCTTATAAACATACTGTATTTTTCCGAGTATAATAAGACGCACCTACCTCTTTTGGTGAGGAAAACCAGAAAAAGAAATCTGCCTCTGCCTCCCAGCAATTTTGCCTCGTTGCAGCAAACAGTAAATAGCCTGCTTTACTTTCATTTTCGTTTTCAGCATAGCTTGATTAGCACAAGGAAAAAAAAAATCTGCTCCCAGCAATTTACCTCCTTTGCAGCAAGCAGCAGAGGGCACAAAACAGCTGAGAGCAAAACAGCTGAGAGTCGGGAGGCCAATCCAATCAACTTGTGCTAATTAGGCTGTGCTGAAGCTGAAAGGAGCTGTTTCTTCTTGCTGCTTGCTGCAAGGAGGTAAACTACTGGGAGGCAGAGGCCAAAGAGTGGGGGCCAGTGGATGGGCGGGGCTACATTCAGTGTAGAAGACGTACCTAAATTTTCACCCCCTTTTAGGGGAGAAAAATATGTGTCTTATACTCCGAAAAATACGGTAATGGAGCCTGCCCATCACAGTTGTAATTTGTGCTGGTTTTAAATTGGGTGACCAACTCAATTTTATGACCTATTTTGCAGCGGTCATTGAGTGAGCGCGGTGATGGTTAAATGAACTAACGCTTCGCTAGGCCATCTGTGCCAAAAGACGAGTAAATGCTGGTTTTTGCCGAAACCACAGCAAAACGTGGTCACGTAACTGCGGATCACTGCAAATGGTGGTAAATGCGGTCTGGTTGCTAACCGACAGGGCTGTGAGTGTGAGCACTTGTGACACACAAGCTGCGTTTGCAGAGCACACTTAAACCAGGTCAGTCACAGACTTGCTCCTTTTTTTCGAGGTGTGAAATTTTCATTACTTTTTAAATTGGTGGCTTAAGTGTGTTCTGCAAACAGCCCGTATGGTTAGTTCATGATTTAATGTATTGCCCAAACACCAGAAATTAAGATTACTCCAGTAACCAGATTGTTTGTTAAACCAATACAGGTAGTCCTTGACTTACAACAGTTCATTTAGTGACTGTTGGAAGTTAACAATGGTTCTGAAAAGTGACTTGTGACCATTTTTCAAACTTTTGCAGCATCCCCATGGCCATGGGATCAAAATTCACTCGTGTCAACTGACTCATATTTATGACGGTTGCAGTGTCCCTGGGTCATGTGATCCCTTGACCACCTTCCGACAAGCAATGGGGAAAGCCAGATTCCCTTAACAACCGGGTTACTAACTTAACTGCAGCGATTCACTTAACAACTGTGGCAAGAAAGGTTGTAAAATGGGGCAAAGTTAATTTAACTCTCTCGCTTAGCAAAAAAAATTTTAGGTTCGATTGTGGTCATTAAGCTGAGGACCTAATGTAGCATCCCCAGATGCCTAACAATCATTTAACAAACATCACGGCTTTGCTGAGTGCTGCAGCTTTTAGGCTATCTTTAAAAGTTTGCACCTGAGGGTAGGACAAGAAGCAATGGGTGGAAACTCATCAACGAGAGAAGCAACTTAGAACTAAGGAGAAATTTCCTAGCAGTGAGAACAATTAACCAGTGGGACAACTTGCCTCCAGAAGTTGTGAATGCTCCAACACTGGAAGTTTTTAAGAAGATGTTGGATAACCGTTTATCTGAAGCGGTGTAGGGTTTCCTGCCTAAGCAGGGGGTTGGACTAGGAAACCTCCAAGGTCCCTTCCAACTCTGCTATTCTATTCTTCTCTTCTCTTCTCTTCTCTTCTCTTCTCTTCCTAATTCTAATTCTAATTCTAATTCTAATTCTATTCTAAAGATACTTAAAATGTTAATATCGAAAGGATGCACACATGTCTTTCCTGTCGGTGTAATTCATTTATTTGGAAACTTTTGTAGGGATGCCTTCCCTATCTGAGCATTTTCTCCTCCGGATTTCCAAAAGGCTTGATTTCAAGAGATTCAAGAGAAATCCAAAGTCAGAGAAGAATGCAACCTGCTTTTGCATTTGCGCAAACGCAAAGCCGTTTAACCGGTTACAGGGAAGCGGAGCCTAGGCGAAGATATCTCAGACATCAGTGTGTGTGTGTGTGTGTGTGTGCGTGTAGACAAAATAACCCGGGATTGCATTTGATAATTACTGCTTGAGGAAAGGACTTGGGAGGGAGGTGGCTTGTTCTCTTGTTTGTGTTTTATATTCATTCACCAGATTTCACACCCTTTACGTTGTCAACTTCACATTCAGTAGAGTTTCAAGTGACCAGAAACTTTATCTATCATCTCAGCTGGACCAGGCCCAATGCCCAAGACAGTTCGGGAGCCTGGAGCTATTTGTGTGCGGCCAGCATCCTGGATTAAGCTCACGGTCAAGCCGAGCACTTTGGCCTCGTTTAAGAGCTGGACGATGGTCTCCTCGTCGGGCGCCTTGAGGACTACCTTGGGCTGTCCACAATATTCCCACTGCTTCAGAAGTTCAGGATTTCGATGGTGGACTTGCTTGTAGGCCGAAACGGCGGCGTGGGAGCACTGGGCTGCTACTTTGCCCTTGCCCATCTTTAGGTCATTCCGGACTATGATCACCATCTTGAATTCTCCGGATTCGCCCATTATACTGGCTTCGTTGCCCAGCTCGTTGGCCATCATAGTCAATCTGGATTTGGCTGGCCGGAAAAGACGAGCTCGTATGCTCCAGCCCAAGCATACTCCACAGGTGACACCAGCAATTAAGCCAAAAACCCCAGGCCTAGCCAGGTAATCCATCACGCATCTGGAGAACAAGGAGAAAAGCAACGGTCGGATCAATAGGAAAGCTTTAAGTTCTGGCCTTCATCATCACAGGCCTATTTTTGCACTTGGAGATAAGATACCAGTAGTGTTCGACTTACAACCATTCACTTAGTGAACGTTTTGAAGTTACAACAGCACTGGGAAATAAGTGACTGACGAGCGTTTTTCACATTTACGACTGCTGCAGCATTCCCCAGGGTCAGGTGATCAAAATCCAGACGTTTGGCAACTGACTCATTTTTATGACGGTTGCAGTGTCCTGAGGTCATGAGATCACTTTTTACGATCTTCGGACAAGCAAGGTCAATGGGGAAGCCTGATTCGCTCAATAACCATGTTACTAACTTTTAACAGATTAAGAGAGTTGGAAGGGACCTTGTTAGATCATCTAGTCCAACCCCCCACCCAAGCAAGAGCCCCTACACCATTTCTGACATAGCAACTGCAGCGGTTCACATAAAAACCGTGTCAAGAAAGGTGGTAAAATGGGGCCAAATTCACTTACCTGTCTTGCTTAGCAACAGAAATTTTGGGCTCAATTGTGGTCATAAGTTGAGGACTACCTGTTCATTCATTTTGGCCAAACAATGTCGACTGGCAGCCCCCAGGGGGAGAGCCTTCTCTGTGGGGGCACCTACTATCTGGAACGAGCTCCCCCCGGAGATACGGAGGATCCTGGATCTGCGTACCTTCCGTTGCGCGCTCAAGACGTTCTTATTTCATCAAGCTGGCTTGACCTAAGTCTTTCCCCTTTTTAAATGGAAATTTTAAATTTGGTTTTAAATTATTGGGGTTTTAAATTTGTTCAGCCTAATTATTTAATTTGTTTTATTCTATTTTAAATTTTGTATTTATATGTTTTATTCTATGGCTGTTCACCGCCCTGAGTCCTTCGGGAGTAGGGCGGTATACAAATTCAATTAAATAAATAAATAAATAAATAAATAAATAAATAAATAAATAAATTAATTAATTTAACATTAAGAATACCAATAGAACATGCAATGTTGATATACTTGTTTGGCCGAACTATCTTGAAAATGCAGTTGACATATTGGAATTCAGCATTGATGTCCACAGAAGACAGTCACAAAGTATTTGCAAATATCCTAAATTCCTTGAATGACTTTGGTTAAAACATTACATTTAAAATAATGCTAGTAAAGAGTTGAAGAGTACTTAATTCTAAGGGGTCTTTGATTTTTTTTCATTTCAACCCTGAACTAAAAATATTCTCTATCAGTACTTAATTCTAAAAGACAGCTTGCAATTGTACATAGTCCTCCACTTACAACTGTTTGTTTAGTGACCACTTGAACTTACAATAGCACTGAAAAAGGGACTCACAACTGGTGCTCGCGCAGCATTCCCATGGTCCTGTGATCAAAATTTGAATATTTGGCAACTAGCATGTATTTATAATGGTTGCAGTGTCCCAGGGTCGTATGATGGCCATTTCTGACCTTCCCAGCCAGATTCTGACAAGCAAAATTAATGGAGGAAGCTAGATCTGCTTAATGACTGCATAATTCACTTAACTGCAATGATTTGCTTAACAATCATGGCAAAAACGACAAAAAACTGGGCACAATTCAGTTAAAAATCACCTTGCTTAGGAACATGTCAGGATAGTGTTGATTTAAAGCTGACCAGCCAATGTAAAAGCAACTGTAAAGCTGATGAAATGTAAGGCTGATGCAATGAGAATGAATCAGCATTGGTATAGCCAGTTTGAGACTCTGAAGGGGTCCACACAAGTCTTTTACTCCTTTAAGAGGTGTTTATAAATTTCAGCCAGGAGAGGGCGTATTCTCTCTCCTTGTGTCCGGTATTCATTGCAGCGTTCTCCGTGTAGAGTTAAGAAGAAGTTTGATTGCTTGTAAGGTATTTGCCAACCACGTATATTTCTGTACGTCTTGTATATAAACCACTGTTAAATGTCTAAGTTTCTCTGTGCTGTGTTTTGCTCCTGCGTTGTCTCATAGTAGTAGTCACGCTGCAAACGCTCTGACAGAACAGACATTCTGGCCCCAATTGTGGTCGTAAATCAAGGATTACCTGTATGGACACTATTAGAATTACCTATTAATAAATGAATGAAACTATTTGTTATATAAATCCATAAACCCACCTAAATCCACTGTATAACTCCATCAGGAGCCTGGTAGCGCAGTGGTTAGAATGCAGTATTGCAGGCTAACTCTGCTGACTGCCAGCAGTTCAATCCTCACGAGCTCATCCTTCTGTGGTCGGTAAAATGAGGACCCAGACTGTTGGGGACAGTATGCTGATTCTGTAAACCACACACAGGGAGAACTGTAAACCACTATGGAGCAGTATACAGGTAGTCCTCGATTTACAACAGTTCATTTAGTGACCGTTCAAACTTACAACGGCACAGAAAAAAAGTGACTTATGACCGTTTTTCAAAGTTACCACCTTTGCAGCATCCCCATGATCGTATGATCAAAATTCAGAATCTTGGCAACTGGTTCATACTTATGACCGTTGCCGTGTCCCAAGGTCACGTGATCAGGTTTTTCGACCTTCTGACAAACAAAATCAATGTGGAAGCCAGATTCACTTAACAACCAGGTTACTAACTTATCAACGGCTGTGATTCACTTAACAACTATGCCAAGAAAGGGCATAAAATAAGGCAAAACTCACTTAACAAATGTCTCACTTAAACAACAGAAATTTTGGGCTTAATTGTGGTTATAAGTTGAGAACTACCTATATAAGTCTATTCCTAGTGTCTGTCTGTCTGTCTCCCTCTCTCCCTCCTTCTCTCCTTTTTTGGTTAAGTTTATTTTGTCCCTGTTTTTAGATTGTAAGCTTCTGCTGATTCTGAATATACTCACCATCATCCTACATAAGAAAAGTTGCTTTCTTCTTTCTTTTTCCATTTTTTAAAATTACACAAAAGTAACCAACTTGTGGCATCTTATGAATTAACCCAATCTTGACAGCAGAAGGATTATGACTCAGTGTTGGAATTGAAGTTACTAAGGCCAAGAAACCCTGGAATGGATGATCTTCATGGGGCTTTTCCATCCTACCCCATGCCTTTTCTTTCCTGATGAACAGCAGCAGCACTTCAGAGGGGTTTAACCGGCGTACAAGAAGTCCTCGACTTACAACAGTTCATTTAGTGACCATTCAATGTTACAACAGCACTGAAAAAAGCGACTTACAACCCTTTTTCACACTTCCCCCCAGTCAGGTGATTTACATTCGGCCGCTTGACAACTGACTCACATTTGTGACGGTTGCATCAGTGTCCCGGTGTCAGGCGGTTTCCCCCTTTTGCGATCTTCTAACAGGCCAAGGCAATGGGGAAACCAGATTCATTTAAACCATCTGGTTTCCCCGTTGACTTTGCCTGTTAGAAGTCTTCCTAGTTGAAGAACTGCGGTGACTGGCTGAACAAACGTGGTGTGAAGAGTTGCAAAACGGGGCAAAAAAACCCCCACTCCACAAATGTCTCACTTACTTAGCAACATAAACCTTGGGCTCCACTGTGGTCGTAAGTTGAGGACCTCCTGTATTTTTCTTATACCTAAGCACAGACCAGACTTTTTTCCCTTCCTAGCTGGCTGGTGGTCTGGTAGGGAGGCCAGGACTGGTTCCAAGTCACCACCTGAGCCTCGGTGGCTGCAAGGGAAGTGGGGCCTAGGCCTGTCCACCCCCACCCCCACCCCGTTCTGTCCCCATCCCACATGCACACACACCAACAGACGTTCAAGAGTTAAAGACTAAACCAGCCGACAAAATCCTTTTCCTTATGATAACGGAACTTGGCAACAACCTAGTGGCTGCCCCAGGAGTTTGATGCTGACCGCCTTAAGGTTGACTCAGCCTTCCATCCTTCCGAGGTCGATAAAATGAGGGCCCAGATTGTTTTTTTGGGGCAACAGGCTGACTTTGTAAACCGCTTAGAGAGGGCCATAAAGCACTGTTGAAGCGGTATGTAAGTCTAAGTGCTATTGCTATTGCCTCAGCCTTCCATCCTTCCGAGGTCGGTAAAATGAGGACCCAGATTGTTGAGGGCAACAGGCTGACTTTGTAAACCGCTTAGAGAGGGCTGTAAAGCACTATGAAGCGGTATATAAGTCTAAGTGCTATTGCTATTTTTCCTTTCCTTCCTGAAAGGAGACAAGAAGATGTTTGAATATTTAATAAGTTGATTGATTGATTATATGCCATCAAGTCAGCACTGATTCTTACCAACTACATGGAAAGAATTTCTGCCTGTTCTGGTCTTCCATATCTTCCCACGGTGTCTCCATCACCACTGCAACTGAGTCATCTGCTGCTAAACAACCCCTTCTTCCCTTCCCTTCCATATCAGAACCTTCTCCAGACAGCATAGAGTTGAAGTCCACAAGTCTTAAAGCTGCCAAGTTTGAAGACCTCTGCCTTAAAGAATGATTCCAATTGAAAATGGACCATGCTAAGTGTTGGCAAGCCCTCTTAAATTCAAAATTATCACCATTTTGCCTCACTTCAATAAGCCACACATGCTCAAGCATACAGAGTGTCAGGCCTCTGATCTGACACTCCATCTATTAGCATAGATTAACAGAGTTGGAAGGGACCTTGTAGGTCATCTAGCCCAACCCCCCCACCCGCTCAAGCAGGAGATCCTACACCATCGCTGGCTGGGGGATTCTGGGAGTTGAAGTCCGCCCATCTTCAAGCTTCCAAGGTTGAGAAACACTGCTCTAGAGCCTCAAGTATTTTAAGATTGCTATCATGTCCCCCCTACTCCTTTTCATTTATACTAGACATACCCAATTCCTGTAACCATTCCTCTTTGCCTTGAAACTGACTTCTACATAATAAATCTGATTGATGATTGTGTTTTAATTTTGATGTTAGGCACCGCGAAGTGACTGACCTATGAGATGGCGCAGAATGGAAGACGTTGTGACTTGAGGCGCACCGCGATGAGCAAAGTGCTCAACGGAAACTTGCTAGGTACGTTGGGTCGGGAATAAATCATTCCTGCAGAATGAAACAAAGTACAAGTAATCCTCGACGTGCGACCACAATCGAACCCCAACATGTCCGTTGCTAAGCGAGACATTTGTGAAGGGAGTTTGGTTCCATTTTATGACCTTCCTTGGCCCAGGGGTTAAGCAAATCCCTGCTCTGTGCAGTTAGTAACAATGGTTGTTAAGTCAATCCGGCTTCCCCGTTGACTTTGCTTGTCAGACGGTCATAAGATGGGATTGCGTGACTCCGGGATACTGCGACCGTCATAAATAGGAGTCACTTTGCCAGGCGTGATGAATTTTGATTGCATGACCATGGGAATGCGGCAACGGTTGTAAATGTGAAAAATGGTCGTAAGTCACATTTTTCATTGCCGTTGTAACTCTGAACGGTCACTAGACGAACTGTTGTAAGTCGAGGACTACCTGTACAATGTGCTTACAAGTAGTCCTCGACTTACAGCCATTTGTTTAGTAACCGTTCAAACTTACAACGGCACTGAAAAAAGTGACTTACGGCCAGCCCTCGCACTTGTGCAGCATTCCCACAATCAGGTGATCAAAATTTTGGCAACCAGCATGTCTTTACCTTGCGGTTTCTCCAAGTTACATGATCACCGTTTGTGACTTTCCCACCTGACTTCCGATAAGCAAAGTCTGGGAGAAGCGGATTTGTTTAATTATTTATTTAGCCTACGGCATATCGTACATGGACTTGCAATGTATGTATTAACATTTCACGTAGAGCAGGGGTGTCAAACTCATAGCCCGGGAGCCAGATCCTGCCTGCGAGGTGTTTAGATGTGGCTCGCAGGACCATCCTGGAAACAGTGAGGGACTGGCCCGTGGTACCTCTGCCAACGAAAATGGGCTCCCAAGCTCCATTTATGGCTGCGACGACCTGCAACCCTCTGCCAGCGAAAATGGTCCCTCCCGAGCTCCGTTTTCGCAGGCAGAGGGTTGCAGGAAGCCGTTGCACCCGGAAACGGAGCTCGGGAGCCTGTTTTCACTGACAGAGCGCGCGGGTTGCCGTAGGCGCCCCCGACATGAGTGACATCGAGCAGGCCATGCCCTCTCTGGCCACACCCACCCCAGCCCCCTGAGGTCAAACAGAACCGTGATGCGGCCCTCAATGAAATCAAGTTTGACACCCCTGACTTAGACTAAAAAAAAAATTAATAAAATATGAATGTTAAAAGGATCTCTATTCAGATACCAATATCTGGGCCATTTAGCCATTGAACTGCGGTATCGTTTACATGAAAATCAGATACTGGACCGGTACATGCCCTCAAGTTATGACCAGTTAGAATATGATCCTCAGTTTGACATGGGACCTACACTTCGATCGACATTTCTGTTGTTAAATGAGACATTTGTTAAGTGAGTTTTGTCCAATTTTTGCAACTTTTCTTGCCACAGTGGTTAAGTGAAAAAAATTGAGCCCAAAATCATTGTTGCTAAGTTGTTTGGCTGCTAAGTGAGACAGTTTGTTAAGTGAATTCTGTCTCATTTTACGACCTTTCTTGCCACAGTTGTTAAGTGACTCACTGCAGTTGATAAGTTCGCCACCCCGTCATTAAGTGAATCTGGCTTCCCCATTGACTCTGCTTGTTCAGAAGGTCGCAAAAGGTGATCATATGACCTCGGGTCATAAACTGTCATAAATATGAGTCAGCTTCTGAATTTTGATTATGTGACCACAGGGATGCTGCAAAGGTCATAACTGTGGAAAAACGGTCAGAAGTCACATTTTTCAGGGCGGTTGTAACTTTGAATGGTCACTAAACGAACCGTTGTAAGTCAAGGATTACATTTTCTCCCATTTCTCCTTTTCCAGAGCCCTCTTTGTCGCGTGAACAAAGGCGGAAAGAACAAGAGGCGCGTCAGAGTATCGTCCTCTGGGCAAAACCAATTCTTACCTTGCAGTATTTCTTCCTGGAAACTTTAGCAAATTTGAAAGACTGGACCATAAAGTAAGTGTGGGAGAGAAGGAAAGCCCTGCCCAAGGGTGGGTGAAAGGCATAAACTGTTCCCTCTGTCTGTCCTTCCTTCTCCTGGTCCTCCGACTCTCTCCGCTGACCCAATTCCAGATTTCCTGGGCCTTGGTTAGTTTAAGAAATTAGATAAATTTTCTCCCTTTTACATAAAACAGGAAGCACTTCTGATTAAGAGGACTGGCCTTGTATGCTCTGTAGCAGGGGTCACCAACCTTTCGGACTTCAGGGACCACTAAATTCATAATTTTAAATCCCACGGACCGCTAATACGATCTGCCTAATGACTGGCTTGGTGGGCGTGGCTAGGTGGTCATGTGACCGGGTGGGTGTGGCCAACTCAATGTCACTCATGTTGAGAGGTGCCTCGCCAGCCTCTACTCGCCCCTCCCCTGCCAGCCACTCCTCACCTCCCCACCCGGGCTCCTTAGGGCCCCAACAGGAAGCAGTTTTTTTATTATTATTATTATTATTTAAATTTGATTTATATGCCGCCCTTCTCCGGAGACTCAGGGCGGCTTACAATGCGCTAAGCAATAGCCTTCATTCTTTTGTATATTTATACAAAGTCAGCTTATTGCCCCCACAACTGGGTCCTCAATTTACCTACCTTAGAAAGGATGGAAGGCTGAGTCAACCTTGAGCCTGGCGAGATTCGAACCTGCAGTAATTGCAGGCAGCTGGTCTTAATAACAGGGTGCTTTAGACCACTGTACTACCAAGTTGCTGGAACTAAGCAGCCACCATGAGAAAGACTTGGCAAAACAGCTGGCTCTGTTCAAATTGGATCTGACCAAGAAGGAGGCTCAGCAGAAGCACCTCACTGAGGACTAGGAGCACAGGCTTTCCAAGCAGAGGGAAGACCTGCGGGAGTGCAAGGCCAGGTACTGGCGCTTGAAGGCTCAATGAGATGAGATGGGATGAGATGGTCAGCAGTTCCAGGCTATGATGCAGAAACAAGGTGCTCTGGCTCTTCACTACCAGCGGCAATTCCTTCTAGGCTTCACCCAAAGCCTCACACCAGGAGGCTGAAGTAGGCCCCGAGTTAGAATTTCTGCCCTCTCCCACCCACACAAAAAAACCCCAAAGGGGGAGACTCTCTGCAGCAACACAAACGTTCGTTACACATATCCGGCCCAGGGGCCGTAGTTTGAGGACCCCTGATTTAGTGCAATATAAAAAAATGCAAATAATTTTTCTGCGGGCCACCACAATTTTCTCACGGACCACCAGTGGTCCACGGACCACCAGGTGGTGACCGCAGCTCTATAACAGGGGTCTCCAACCGTGGCAACTTTAAGCCTGGAGGACTTCAACTCCCAGAATTCCCCAGCCAGCAAAGCTGGAGTTTGTTTATTTTATTTTATTTTTATTTTTGATTTATATGCCGCCCTTCTCCGGAGACTCAGGGCGGCTTACAGTGCGTTAAGCAATAGCCTTCATTCTTTTGTATATTTTATACAAAGTCAGCTTATTGCCCCCACAAACTGGGTCCTCATTTCACCTACCTTAGAAAGGATGGAAGGCTGAGTCAACCTTGAGCCTTGGCAAGATTCGAACCTGCAGTAATTGCAGGCATCTGGTCTTAATAACCAGCTTAATAACAGGGTGCCTTAGACCACTGTACTACCAAGGCTCTTGGTAGTTGAAGTCCTCCAGGCTTAAAGTTGACACGGTTGGAGACCCCTGCTCTATAGCAGTGTTTTTCAACCTTTAACCTTAAAATGGGCAGACTTTTAATTCCAAGCTATGCTGGCTAGGGATTTCTGGGACTTGAAGTCCATCCATCTTCAACTTGCCCCGGTTGAGAAACACCCCTCTTTTAGAATCAATATAAAGGATTGTTTTTATTTATTTATTTATTGTGTCCCTCCTTTATTATTCTTACAACTAATTCAAGCTGGCAAACATACCATTTCCTCTTCCCTGTTTTCCCCATAACAAGAAGCCCGTGAGGTGAATTGAGCTCAGAGACAGCAACTGGCCCAAGGTCACCCAGATGACTTTCATGCATAAGGAAGGACTAGAAGTCACCATCTCCTGGTGGTTGGCCCTAAATCAATCAGCTGGCTTTCATGCCAAAGGCGGGACTAGAACTCACAGTCTCCTGGTGATTGGCCCAAAGTCACCCAGCTGGCTTTCATGCATAATGTGCGCTAGAAGTCACGTCTCCTGATCACTGGCCCAAAGTCACCCAGCTGGCTTTCATGCTTAAGGAAGGACTAGAAGTCACCATCTCCTGGTGGTTGGCCCAAAGTCACCCAGCCAGCTTTCATGGCTAAGGCATGAACTGAATTTGAATTCAGGATCTCCCTCTTTCTAACTTGGTGCTTTAACCACTAGACCAAACTGGCTCTCATGACGTAGTTAACACCTGATACGAAAACTTTGAAAAGGGGCCGGTGCAAATTCTCTGTGGAGGACAGAATTCTTAGTTGCTCTTCATCCTTGTGGACATTTGGTGGAACTTCAGTGATGTGAAAAGGAATTCAAGAAATAATCTTTGGCCCTCCCACACTGGAGGAACTGGACTTCTGAACTGAAAATGTATCTAGTTGGCCACTATTAGGTAGTCCTCCACTTACAACTGGTAGCTTAGTGACCATTTGAAGTTACAACCTAGATTCAAACTTTCCAACCATCAGGCCATGACTGATGACTGCATTTTGGTTGCTTGGGAACCGGATGACATTTGCAGCCATTGGCAGTATCTTGCGGTCATGGGACTGCGTTTTATCACAGTTGTGCTGAAAACTGGCATTTACCACCATGGGTTCACTTAACAATCACATCGTTCACTTAATGACCGCCCCAAATAAAAGGTCGTAAAATCAGATAGGTCATGTGATCTATCCGCTTTACGACTTTCGTTGAGTTACAACCATGATGGGGCAGGCTCCCATCATGGTCGTAACTCGAGATTTATGTGAAGAAGGTACAGGTAGTCCTCAACTTATGGCCACAATTGAGCCAAGAATTTATGTAGCTAAGTGAGGAATTTGTTAAGTGAGTTTTGCCCCATTTTACGACTTTTCTTGTTAAGTGGATCACTGCAGTTGTTAAATAGGTAACCCGGTTGTTAAGTGAATCTAGCCTCTCCATTGACTTTGCTTGTCAGAAGGTCGCAAAAGATGATTATGTGAGCCCGGGACACGACAACCGTCATAAATGTGAGTCAGTTGTCAAGCATACGAATACAAATCATGTGACCATGGGGATGCTGCAGTGGTCATAAGTGTGAAAAATAGGTCGTAAGTCACTTTTTTCAGTGCCATTGTAACTTTGAATGATCACTAAATGAACTGTTGTAAATCAAGGATTACCTGTAACAGGAGAGATAGAGTAGCTCTTACTTCTGATCTATATTTGGAGCTCTTAGATCCATTATTTGATATTTCTACAATTCTTTTTTTACAAGTGGTGGTAGTGCAACTGATTTTGGGGATTTTTCCAGACTTTTTCTTGATTTAAATCAGATTGGATTATAGTCCTCTGATGTTCTGACAAACCTGGAGGACATCACATTGGAAAGAACGCGCCAGATAATTTTGTAGGTCATGGCTTTTTTCTTCATATTTTTAATTCATCAGAATTTAAGGTCTACAGAAATAGAAATTAGGTTAATAAACTATGTCACTGAAACGTTTTTAGGCTTTTAAGAATGTAGAATTCTTTATTGGCCAAGTGTGATTGGACACACAAGGAATTTGTCTTTGGTGCATACTCTCTCAGTGCACCTAAAGAAAAAATAAAATATACCATATTTTTCAGAGTATAAGACGCAGAGTATAAGATACACCTTAGTTTTTTGGGAGGAAAATAAGAAAAAAGCTGATTGGTGGGTGGATCGGCCTCACGGAATACGCCCAATCAGCTGTTTCCAGAGGTGAATTTTAGCAACAGGTTCGTTGGTTGTGAGCTCTGTGCCTTGCTTTTTTTTTCTGCCTCTGAAACTTCTGAAACTCTGTTTCAGAAAAAACTTTTTTTCCTGCCTCTGAAAGCGTCGGAAACAGAGCTTCAGAAAAAAAAAGGCTTTTTTTCTGAAGCTTCTTTCAGAGGCTTTTTTTCTGAAGCTTCTTTCAGAGGCTTTTTTTCTGAAGCTCTGTTTGGAGGCTTTTTTTTCTGAAGCTTCTTTCAGAGGCTTTTGTTCTGAAGGACTATCTGTACTCTGTTCAGTCTCCTTTCTTTGGTATTGGTATATAGATTAACCTCTTCCGATCTGTTGGTTATTGTGTCATTCTCCAGATTTGTTAGCATAGTTTGGTTAGAACCTTTACTGATTCTTCTTTTGTTGTTTGCCATATTATTTTAGATAAAAGCTATTCAGAGGCTTTTTTCTGAAGCTTCTTTCAGAGGCTTCTTTCAGCCTCTGAAATCTCTGTTTGCGAGGCTGGGCGGGACTAAATTCAGAGTATAAGGCGCACCCAGATTTTTACCCTTTTTGGGGGGGGGGAAGGTGCGTCTTATATTCCGAAAAATACGGTATTCGTCAAGAATCATAAGATACAACACTTAATAATAGTCATGGGATACTAATAAGCAATCAAGTCATACTAGGAAACAAGAAAAAAAATATAAGTTGTAAAGATACAAGCAGCATGGATATAGACATAAGTGGGAAGAAATCGGTACTAGGAAAGATGAGAAGATTAATAGTAGTGCAGACTTAGTAAATAGTTTGACAGTGTTGAGGGAATTATTTGTTTAGCAGAGTGATGGCGTTGGGGAAAAAACTGTCTTTGTGTCTTAGTTGTTCTGGTGTGCAGTGCTCTATAGCGTTGTTTTGAGGGTAGGAATTGAAACAGTGTATGTCCAGGATGTGAGGGGTCTGTAGATATTTTCCCAGCCCTCTTTTTGACTCGTGCAGTAGCCAGATCCTCAATGGAAGGCAGGTTGGTAGCCATGGTTTTTTCTGCAGTTCTAATTCTCCTCTGAAGTCTGTGTCTGTCTTGTTGGGTTGCAGAACCAAACCAGACAGTTATAGAGGTGCAGATGACAGGCTCAATCATTCCTCTCAATGTCCCTTCTTATAGTGCAGTGTTTCTCAACCTTGGAAGCTTGAAGATGGGTGGACTTCAACTTCCAGAATCCCCCAGCCAGCAATGCTGGCTGGGGGATTCTGGGAGTTGAAGTCCACCCATCTTCAAGCTTCCAAGGTTGAGAAACACTCTTATAGTGGAAGCAGTACAGGCAGTCCTCAATTTACAAATAGTTCATGTTTTGATCATTCAAAGTTACAACGGCGCTGAAAAGTTTGACCTACAACCATTTTCCACAGTTTCGACCTTTGCTGCAGCCCCAGAATCACCTGATCAAAATTCAGATGCTTGGCAACCGGTTCATAGTTACGACCGTTGCTTTGTCCCAAGGTCGTGTGCGATCCCCTTTTGTGACATTTTGGCAAGCAAAGTCAACGGGGAAGCCAGATTCACTTCACAACCGGGTTACTAACTTCTGAATTGCAGCTTAACCACTTAACTTAACCACTGTGGCGAGAAAGGTCATAAAATGGGCCCAATGTCTCCCTTAGCAACAGAAATTTTGAGCGCAATTGCGGTCATGCGTTGAGGACTCCCTGTCTAGGATTGCAATTCGCTGTTCCTCACATATTAGCCAGTTCTTTCAAGATAAACATGTTCTGGAGTTTGACCCCAAGCACATTAATCCTCTCATAAATTTAAAACCATATTCCCTATAAAGGTAGTTCTCGACATGCAACCACAGCGGAGGCCAAAATTTTGCTGCTAAACAAGACAGTTCAGAACATTGCGCCCCATTTCACGATCTTTTTTTTTTTTTTTTGCTACCGTTGTTAAATGAACCACTGCGGTCGTTAAAACGAATCTGGTTTGCTTCCCCCATTGACTTTGCTGGTCAGAAACCAGCTGGGAAGGTTATAAAGAGTGATCACATGACCCCATGTGACAATGCAACCGTCAGAAATGCATACATGACCATGGGCAGGGGTCTGCAGCCTTAAACACTCAAAGAGCCATTTGGACCTGTTTCCCACAGAAAAGTGATGTCTCAGTGCCTGGAGGCTGTGCGGATCTGGATGGGGAGGAACAGGCTCAAGCTCAACCCTTCCACGGCCTTTCCAGCCTTCCGCCGTGCCCTTAAAACCCACTTTTTCCAGCAAGCCGGGCTGGCTTAGGAAGAAATTTTTTAAATTTTTTAAATGTTTAATTGGTTTGTGGTTTTTTAAATTTTTGGGCCAAATTTATATATATTTTAATTGTTTTTAATATTTGTATTTCATGTTTTTAATTCTGGCTGTGCACCGCCCTGAGTCCTCAGGGAGAAGGGCGGTATATAAATTGAAAAATAAATAAATAAACAAATAAATAAATAAATAAATAAATAAATAAATAAATAAATAAATAAAAGACAACACCGGGAGCCACAAAACCTGGGTGGGCGTGGCCAACCCAACCTCACTCACTTCCACCAGTCACATGACTACCACCCCCAGCCATGCCTACCCAGACGGTCATTAGGGCGGAGAACCGGTTGTTAAAAAACACTGGGAACCACAAAACCCTTTTGATAGATCTCTCTCTCTCCCTCTCCCCCTCTCTCTGTATCTCTGTCTCTGCCCTGGCCGATTCTCCATCCCACACACACGCACAGAGGGACAGAGAGAGAGAGACAGAGAGGGGGGACACTGGCTGACGGGAGAGCGTCATTGGCAAGGGCACTCCAGCTTTCTCCGAGCCTGACCCCTGGGGTGGGCATGTGAGGTTCGGTGGGGCCAGCCCCCTTTTCCCGCTGCCCTGAGTTTCTTTACTCCCAGCAAAGTGGTGCCACCGCCAGCTTTCATTGAAAAGCATCCTCCGGGCGGCGAAAGTCCCCCGTGCAAGTTTTAAAGCTGCGGATGGGCACTGCAGGCCTGTCTCCCTTTCCGTCATCCCTTCCTCCTGGATCCCACTCCCACCCCGCCAGCCCTCGTGTTAGCGAAGCCGGTGTCAGTCGCGGCTGGGTCGGGCTAGTGTAGAGAACAGGTTGCGCGTCTTCCCAAGCGACTGAGGCATGCCCGGAAGAAGCTTCAGCAAGAGTGAGGCGCTGGAGAATCAGCCCCGGCCGCTTCTCCATCCCCTGCCGTCGCCCTTACCTTCTCAGGCCAGGCAAGGAGTGACAGGGGGAAGGGCGAGGGATGGGGCCAGCCAATGGTGGGATCACCCGACAGGGAGCCACAGCAGAGGGCCCAAAGATCCACATGTGGCTCCAGAGCTGCAGGTTGCTGAGACCCGACCATGGGGATGTTGAAAACAATTGTTGAAAACCGGTCATAAGTCACTTCTTCAGTACTGTTGTAACTTTGAATGGTCACTGAATGAATAGTTGTAAGTCGAGGACTACCTGTGTAATGTCTTCCTTTTTCCTGTCTTCCCCACCCTGCCTGTTCTTCAGCTAGCTGGGAGGGGAATCGGATGTTTCTCACTTCAACATTACAATCTGCGTGTTTTTTGAAATTGATTCTTCACTGGGCAAAGATCAGGATTATGTGGAACTTGTATTCTGACCACTAAAAGAGGACTTTGGCCCATAATCAGCTATTCTCCCATTAGGCTAAATCATGTCTAACTCTTCACCTTTCCAGCTTTCGAACGAATGAGGTTTAAAATGCTTGGGACGCCCAAAGAATTAGGAAAAAAGCTTCGGAAACTGCCACCCTGGATCACACCCGGTAGTCTGTCTTCTCCTCATTGTCCCTTTTATTCTTCCAGAATATAGGACATTTCTCCATCAACGATCTATTTATAATTAGGGTCAATCATTGACACTATCAGGCTTTGCTCTGCCCTAGGACATTGAGTTCCACTGGTGAAAGTCCTTTTTTGCAGCGTATCCTTTTGGGAACGGTGCCCCTGGAGCTGTGCCCGACATATGTGCCAACAGGGAATGGGAACCATAACCCAGGCGGTCCTCGACTTAAAACAAGTTCAACCTCAACAGTACAACCTCAGGATTCCGTCGTTTAGCATCTTTCGTTCTGGATGGAGCTGCACGGCCCCAAACAGAGCCAGTGCGAAATCTGGATGTTTTGCGATATCAGAGGTGTCAAGCTTGATTCCATTGAGGGCCACATCAGGGTTGTGTTCGACCTTGTGGGGTGGGGGGGTGACCAGGGTAAGTGTGGCCGGGGTGGGCATGACCAGCTCAATTGTGTTGGGGGGCACCTGTGGTGGCCAAGTATTAAGGCAGAGCTTCCCTCAGACCCTCCCTCACTCTCATTATAATCACCTTCCTTCTTTCCTTTTCTTCTTCCTTCCTTCCTTTTCTTCTTTTTCCTTTTTTCTTCCTGTCCCCTCTTCCCTTATTTTTCCTTCCTTGCCCTCTTCCCATCCTTCTTTCTTTTTCTTTGTCTTTCCTCTTTCCCTTTCTCCTTTCCTGTCCCTTCTTGGACGCTCAAATGCAAAAGGGGAAACATTTCTCCTTTCGTTTTGTTCTTAGTTTGTTTTCCTAGCCCTTTGCCTGCAAAAACCGAGCTCGGGGGGAGCCGGGCGCCCCCACCCCAGGCCCAGTTTTCAGCTACAACTGCCTCCTGCCACGCTCTGCCAGCTAAAATGTGTGTGGGGGGGTGCATGCGGCCCTCCCGAGCTTTATTTTTGCTGGCAGAGGCACTGCAGGCTGGTTCTTTGCTATTTTATTTATTTATTAGTTGCATTTTTATGCCACCCGACTCCCGAGGGACTATTTCCAGGGCGGCCCCATGAGCTAGATCTAAGCACTCTGCAGGCCTTGAGTTTGACATCCCTCTCCTATATTCATGATTCTTGCAGGTGTCATGGTAGCAGTTGTGGCTAGCTAGTTGTGGCTTTTGCCCAATTTTGTATTGTGTGCCAGTTTGCGCCCTTATACCTGGATGGGGAGACCGTGCGCACACAGTCCCTTGCGCCCTGGTCATCTCTCTCGGTTGGATTGCTGTCGTGCGCTCTGCATGGGGCTACCCTTGAAGAGCATTCGGAAGCTACACCTGGTGCAGAGTACAGTGGTGCAGGCAGTTCTGGAGGCTCTGAAAGTGGCATGTGTGACACCGTTGCCTTCTGGAACCAATTCAAGGTGTTGGCCATAACCACTTAAGCCGGGGGTCCTCAAACTTGGCAGCTTTAAGACTTGTGGACTTCAACTCAGCATAGCTGGCTGGAGGATTCTGGGAGTTGAAGTCCACAAGTCTTAAAGCTGCCAAGTTCGAGGACCCCTGGCTTAAGCCCTTTATGGCATCGGGACCATATTATCTGAGGGCCCGGTCACATCTGTCCAACCCACTAGAGCGGGGAGGCAAGGAATGTTGCGGGTCCCATCCCTAGTCTATAGAAATACTTAAGATTTATGATTTGGTTTTAATTTAAGAATAGAATGTAAAGCACCTCAATTCTGATCATATTGGTTAAAAGGTTGCTGCTGTCATTGTGAGTGCAAGGAAGAGTCAAAAGTCACTTTTTTCCAGTTCTGTTGTCACTTGGAACAGTCGCTGAATGAAGGGTCACAAGTCAAGGGACTCTCTGCGCTCGTTTTTCCAGATCTGTGATTGTAACCGCAGTTTTTCTTCCTTTTCCTCAGACTGTGGCATCGCCGAAGGATAGTGGTGTCCCTCCTACTGCTGCTTGCCATTCTTACATCTACGTATTATATCGAGGGAGCACATCAACGGGTAAAGTACACGCGCAACCTTAATCCGGTGCTTTCCCGAATTCTCAAAGGGTTTGCACACATTTTCTTTCGATCCAAGCTGTAATTAGCACACGGGTACCAAGCCAGAGGAGAGATTTAAAGATTCTTTGGAACCTCTTTTATCCTCGCAACGATCCTATAGGTCAGGGGTCCCCGATCCCTGGGCAGCATGCTGCCCACTGCCGGGCCTTGAGCTGTTCAGAACCAGGCTGCCAAAGGGGCACGTGAGCACACGTGTGCAAGCATGGGCGTACAAGCGTGTGCATGCATGCTCCCATTTGCATGAGCGCAGGTGCATGTGCTCTCTGTTCATGCAAATGGACCTATGTTCGTGCTTGCCCGCTGCTTGTGGAAAACCGTCCCCTCTCTCCCCCCCGCCCAGTCTGTAAAGCTGAAAAAATTGGGGGGGACTCTGCTATAGGTGGAATTACCCTACGAGAACACTCTTAACCAGAGATATCCCTGGATTTACCAGATATTAGTCCAGCATTTTATGTATGGTTGTGAAAGTTGGACCATAAGGAAGGCTGAGTGCCAAAGAATTGAGGCCTTTGAACTCTGGTGCTGGAGAAGACTCCTGCGAGTCTCTTGGACTGCAAGGCGATCCAACCGGTCAGTCCTAGAGGAGATCAACCCTGACTGCTCTTTAGAAGGCCAGATCCTGAAGAGGAAACTCAAATGCTTTGGCCACCGAATGAGAAGGAAGGACTCACTGGAGAAAAGCCAAATGCTGGGAACAACGGAGGGCAAAAGAAGAAGGGGACGGCAGAGAACGAGGTGGCTGGATGGAGTCACTGAAGCAGTCGGCGTGAGCTTAAATGGACTCCAGAGGATGGTAGAGGACAGGAAGGCCTGGAGGAACGTGGTCCATGGGGTCGCGATGGGTCGGACACAACTTCGCAACTAACAAGTCCAGCATTTTACCATGGTCTCACATTACCGCTCATCTTTTAATCAACTATTAGACTTCATATGCTTGATAGGTTGTTGCTGACAAGTACTGCACGCTTTGGGGTCCTTGATTGCTCTCTGAACTTGGTTGTTTTCTTCTGAGTGTTTCATTATCCAATTAGGTAACATCATCAGCGCTAGAAAGGAGCAGGGTTTGCTTCATATTTATATACCAGTGGCTTGGTCTGTTTGTACCGGTGAGAATGTTCTTGATGGCAACACTAAGATTAACACTAGATAATAAATAAATAAATAACTTTATTGTCATTGTATGTGTATATACAGTATACCCATAGAACGAAATTCACTTAACACCAAAGACCAGGTCCAACACATATAACAATCCCCAAACACCCACCCACCCACCCACCACAAATTCCCCACCCCTAAACCACCCAAACATCCACACAACAGATCAAGTAATGCTGTCCAACAGCTCACTGATGGTGGCCCTTTAGTTCATGGTTGAGTGCAATTATTGCTCTGGGATAAAAACTAGAAAACTACCAATCAGTGAGTAAACAACAGCCTAGTCAAGGAACCATCACAACACCCACCAATGCTGAAAGGGCAAGTCACTAATATATGAAAAGTTAGGAAACTCCCTTCTAAGCATTGATGATGTTACCGAGTTGGGTCATGAAACGTCTACAAGAAAACAACCAAGCTCAGAGAGCACTAAGGACTCTCCGTTTCAACCGTGACTACAAATATCCTCTTGTATTGCTACCGTACACTTTTTTTTTTTTAAGAAGCAAAAACTAACTATATTTATCAGCTTTTCCCGAAAACAACCTAGCATCTGTCCCACTTACTCTGCAGATTCTTAAATTAGAATGAGGCCGCTGTTCATTTTCTTAAGCTTCTAATTCGGGATGAGCGGGATAAGATATGACTTATCCGCCTCTAAGCCGCCGAAGAAGTAGGTTGTTTCGAAAGGAGGATAGTTACGAGAAAGAGACATCCAATCTGAGCTTGAATTAAAATAACTCACCTCCCTACCCTACCTTTGGAAGTTATAGAGGCAGACATAAGCCGAGGCTAACCAAACTTTATGGATCTCTGGCAATAGCAATAGCAATTAGACTTACCGTATTTTTCAGACTATAAGACGCACCAGTGTATAAGACGCACCAAGATTTCGAAGAGGTAAGCAAGAAAAAAAAAAGTTTTTGCCCTCCCCAGCCCCCAGGAGCACTCTGCAGGCCTCCCAAAACCTCTGTGCACTGCGTTTTTGCAAAAAACGGGACACGAGGGGCAGGGCTTAGGGAGGCCAAAAATGTGGTATTCGGTGTATAAGATGCATCAACATTTCCACCCTCTTTTGGGGGGGGGAGTGCGTCTTATACTCTGAAAAGTACGGTATATACCGCTTCAAAGTCCTTTACCGCCCTCTCTAAGTGGTTTATAGAGTCAGCATCTTGCCCCCAACAATTTGAGTCCTCATTTTACTGACCTCGGAAGGATGGAAGACTGAGTCAACCTTGAGCCTGGTGGGATTTGAACTGCCAAATTACAGTCAGCCAGCAGTCAGCAGAAGTAACCTGCAGTACTGCACTCTAACCACTGCGCCACCGCAGCTCATTTAAGAGTCAGTCAGGATTGAACTCCTGGCAGTGGGCAGAGTTAGCCTGCAATACTGCACTCTAACCACTAGGACGTGTTTTCTTTAGAACCATTGGTGAATTTATTTTTCTTTTTGCTTCTTCCTCAGTATGTGCAGTTTATGGAAAAAAAGCTTTTATGGTGCGCCTATTGGGCCGGGTTAGGCATCCTGTCCTCGGTGGGGCTTGGAACTGGTCTTCACACCTTTCTGCTCTACTTGGTAAGTTTAACTTCTCCCTTTTCTCTCTCTCTCTCTCTCTCTCTCTCTCTTTTTTTAAAATTTATATAACATTCAATTTTCATCAAACAATGTGTGGACTGGGTACAGTTATTTTTAAACAATCATAATACATATATTTGTAGTAATATTGATAATAATATAATAACAACTTTTTCAAAGACTGAGATTTTACACTGAAACCACGCTCCTTTAGGGGAATTGGAGAAAATAAGCACATTTGCATGATCTGTCTCACTGGGGCTGGCAAGAGGAAAATAGATTTTGGTGGGGTTTAAATTATTTTACTGATCTCGGAAGTGGGTTTAAATCAGTGGTGAAATCCTCCATGGATTGCCACCAGTACGCTGCCTGCACATGCAAGGTGCACGCCAAAAGCATGCTGCATCCGCAGTGCGCGCCAAAAGCAAGCGCTCACATGCACAATGCATACCAAACGCATGCTTCGCGTGGAAAAAGAAGGCTTAACAAGGTAAATAGAACAGCGAGGGGGGGGAACAGCTGTGCTGCGCAATTTAGATTCGCTAGAAAGCAGGATTTCCTGCTTTCTAGCGAATACAAATCACGCGGCACAGTTGATTGTCAGAAATACCGGTTCGGATAAACCAGTAGCTTTTTTTTTACTACCGGTTTGTCCGAACTGGTAGCTTTTATCACTACCGATTCGCCCGAACCAGTAGCATTTCAACCCTGGTTTAAATCATTTTACTGAAGGAGTTTAATACATTTTACTAACCTCAGAAGGATGGAAGGCTGAATCAACCTTGAGTAGGTCAGGATCGAACTCCTGGCAGTGGGCAGAGTTAGCCTGCAATACTGCATTCTAACCACTGTGGCCTGCAAGAGGAAAATAGATTTTGGTGGGGTTTAAATTAAATAGATTTTTGGATTTAAAATTAACCAAAATAGTACTGAAGCAGTTACAGAAGTTAAACGTCTAGTCTAGTGAGTTTAGACTCTAGTTTAGAGTCAAGTTAGAGGGCAGGATATACATGTAATCCTCGACTTACAACAGTTCATTTAGTGACCAAAATCAGAACAGCACTGAAAAAGTGACTTACGACTGTTTTTTCAAACTTACAGCCATGGCAGTATCCCCATGCTCATGTGATCAGAATTCAGATGCTTGGCAACTGGCATGTACTTATGACGGTTGCAGTGTCCCGGGGTCATGTGATCGCCTTGTGCGACCTTCTGACAAGGGAAGCCGGATTCATTTCACAACCATGTGACTAACTTAACAACTGCAGTGAGTCACTTAACTGCGGCAAGGAAGGTTGTAAAATGGAGCAAAGCTCATTTAACAGATGTCTTACTTAGCAACGACAGTTTTGGGCTCAATTGTGGTCGTAAATCAAGGACTACCGGTCCTGGACTCAGATCTATCCACAAATATCCCTTAGGACAATGTTTCTCAACTTACCCACTTTAAGATGTGTGAATTATGCTGCCTGGGGAATTCTGGGAGTTGAAGTCCACACATCTCAAAGCAGCTAAGGTTGAAAAACACTGGTTTAGGGCGCTGCTCATTCCGAAACATGAATTTTCAGGGGGTCATGAAAACCATTCTCAGTAGCACTGATGATATTACCTAGTTTGGCAATGAAACATCTGCAGTAGCACTGATAATGCTACCTAGTTGGGTAATGAAACGTCTGCAAGTAAACAATGAAGCTCAGAGCACACCACGGATCCCACAGTTCAGCCCTGAGCTATAAATACTCTCTTCTGTTGAAAAGTATAAAAAAATGCCTCACCACAGTTTCTTCATCTAATCATGGGCTGCAAGACCAAATACTGTTTTTAGTTTATAGAGTTTTATATAGTTTTTATGACTGTGAGCCGCTCAGAGTTACCTTGAAGTACCTTGAAGATGGGATGGCCTATAAATTTTATAAACAAACCAACCAACATACCAGCCCGCCAACCAACCAACTAACCGAGAAGCCAAATAAGACAAAGTTGGTTTGAACTTTCCAGTTGTGGTTGTAAAAAAAATCCAAATTCCCAGGTTGAATCTCTGTCCAAAACCCCCATCTTCCATCATTATGTTTTCATCTACCTGGCCTGTTGATTTGCACCTGGTTAACCCCTCCTTGGGAGTTCTAGGTTAAAATTATTTACAGTGTCTGGGTTCTCGCAAGCGCACCTTGCCAAAAGCATGGAGATGATTTTACGGTTTGGTGCAGGGTGATAGCCAGACCACAGAGCCGGCTTCTTCCTTTTTTTCACTTCAGTTATCTGGAAAACTCTTTTTTCTTTTCTTTTCCCTCTTTGGAATCGAATGTCGTGGTTGGTTTTGGACTGTGGCCATTGGCTGCCAGAAGGGTAACCGTTAAAAATAGGGGAAGCCTAATCAGTAGCATCTCATGCTTCAGTTATGCAAAATGGGCTGAAAGAGAAAAATAGGTTTTTTTTTTTCTCAAATAAAATCAGCTGGCTCTTTCAGTGAAATGTATTCCTTGCTGTTGATATCTCTGAAAGGTTTAATTTCCTCTTTCTTTCTTTCTTTCTTTCTTTCTTTCTTTCTTTCTTTCTTTCTTTCTTTCTTTCTCCCTCCCTCCCTCCCTCCCTCCCTCTCTTTCTTTCTTTCTTTCTTTCTTTCTTTCTTTCTTTCTTTCTTTCTTCATTTTTATTTTTTATCTCTTTCGTTTTTCTTCCTACTTGCCGGCTGTCTTGTGGCCATCATGAAAGTTGGGTTTGATTATTATTATTATTTATTTATTGAATTTATATCCCGCCCTTCTCCCCGAAGGGACTCAGGGCGGTGAACAGCCGAAAATTAAAATAACGCACAATATAAAAGTTAAGATAACTAAAAATAAATTAAATTAATCGGCCTCCCAATTTAAAACCCCAGCAGATTAGAACTGCTTTCATAATTTTAATTCCGCGTGGAAGGATGTTGGCTGTACAGGTAGACCTCACTCCAGCACCATAGTTCAAAGGCCTCCATTATCAAAGGCATATATATCATATTTGCCTTTGATAATTGAGGCCTTTGAACTATGTGCTGGAAAGACTCATGCGAGTCTTTGACTGCAAGGCGATCAAACCGTCAGTCCTAGAGGAGATCAACCCTGACTGCTCTTCAGAAGTAACAGATCCTGAAGAGGAAACTCAAATATTTTGACCACCTAATGAAGAGGAAGGACTCACTGGAGAAGAGCCTAATGCTGGGAACTATTGAGGGCAAAAGAAGAAGGGGACAGCAGAGAATAAGTGATGGATAGAGTCACCAAAGCATCGGTGTGAGCTTAAATGGACTCCAGAGGATGGTAGAGGACAGGAAGGCCTGGAGGAACGTTGTCCATGGGTGGCGATGGGTCGGACACGACTTCGCAACTAACACAACAAATCATATATGCATATCTACAAACAATAATCATCATCATCATTTAAGGACCCCAGAACCCCTTGCTGGGTGGAGTCTGGGCAACAGAATGGAACTAGCAGAGCGTTTAATGGACGGATGCTCTTCCTGTCACCAATGTGGAGCTTTGTTCAGCAGATATATTCTCACTGTGCCCAGAGAGAGAAATATCTGCCTCTACCTAGGATCAAACTCACAGCCTCCTGATTGTGAGGCAAGAGCTCCACCTCTAGGCCGCCGCACCACTCTATATCTACAAACAATAATAAAAAAATAAATAAAATGACAATCCAAACAGCAGTAATATTATCATTCAACTAGGTTCCAGCATACCATAATTCAAAGGTCTGGAATAGAAGAATAGTGTTGGCAGTCTTTATAAATGCCAGTGTTGTGGCCCCGCCCTCTGAGCCTATTTCATCGGAGAAAAAGTTCCGAACATGAGGAAGACGAGTCAGCCAGGCCTCCCTCTCCAGGCCCCCTCCCCTCTGGCACTGTCTCAGGTGCCGGCCGAGGGAGAGGAGATTAGCCAGGAGCCAGGTGTCTCGGATGAGAACGAAGGAGAGCCGTCATTCCTGGATGCACGCCAACGAAGGCATGATAAAATGTTGCAGCAGTTAAGGAGGCGTGCTAGGGATTAGAACTGAGTCACTGGACCACACCCCAGAGACTATATAAGAGAGGGTGGTGGCTGGTAAAACTCCGTGACGAACAAAAACTAACTTTGGCTAGTCACTTGAACAACGTCTGAAGCTGCCGAAAGGATATTGTTTTGCTGGACTATTTGCAATGCGTATGTAATTTTTATGTTATCTGTTGCAGTAAAAGCTCTTGCAGACGGTGATTATATTGCTGCCAAGTTTGAGATAACGACCTGTGTGCGTGCCAAGTACTTTTCTTGCATAATTTTCAATTTCACTCTCGGCTTCTTCTCGTTCCAGACGAACTTATTCACTCCAAATTGCCAAACTTTCAATTGTTTATCACTTTTGAGCACCGGAATCATTTGAAACAAAAAAAGAAATCTTGGCAAAATATTCATCTTAACTGCTGCTATTCTTCCAAGTAGAGACAGCTGCAGTTTTTTCCAAGTCTCCATATCTTTCTGCACCTCTCGCCACAACACCTCATAATTATTTTGAAACAATTTCATGTTTGATTCTGCAACCTGAACTCCTAGATATTTTACCTTAGGTACAATCTCAAAACCTGCCCTCCTTTCAAGCTCATGTTTGCGATCTTGTGTCATGTTTTTAACTATCATTTTAGTCTTTTTTGGATTCAATCTGAAACCTGAAACTTTACCATAATCTTGTATAATGTCCTTCATCAAGATTATTGATTCCATTGGTTGTGATAGGGTAACAACCAGATCATCTGCAAATGCCTTTATTCTGTAATCCTCTTGCCTAATCTTTATACCTTTCAAGGTATTAGAGTCCCGTATTGTATTTAACAAAACTTCTAGTGTTAAGATAAATAAAAGTGGGGACAACGGACATCCCTGTCTTGTTCCTTTTTCAATTTTAAACTCTGTTGTCAAACTTCCATTAATAATAATCTGTGCCTTTTGCTCTTGATAAATTGCCGAGATCGCCTGTATAAATTG